AATGCACTGTCTAGATTTGTCATAGCTTTTCTTCCAGGAGTGTCTTTTAATTTTGTGGCTGCAGTCACCACCTGCAGTGATTTTGAAGCCCAAGAAGATAAAATCTGCCACTGTTTCCACTTTTTCTCCTTCCATTTGCCAGGAAGTGATGGGACCAGATGTCATGATCTTAGTTTTTTTTTAATGTTGAGTTTCAAGCCAATTTTTTCATTCTCCTTTTTCACCCTGATTTAATCAAGAGGCTCTTTAGTTCCTCTTCACTTTCTGCCATTAGAGTGGTATCATCTGCATATCTGAAGCTGTTGATAGTTCTCCTGGCAATCTTGATTCCAGCTTGTGATTCATCCAGCCCAGCATGTCNTCGAAACATCCCACCCTCGCCTTCTCCCACAGAGTCCAAAAGTCTGTTCTGTACATCTGTGTCTCTTTTTTGTCCACAGGGTTTTCCAGCAAGAATACTGGAGTGGGTCACCATTTCCTTCTCCAGGGGATCTTCCCAACCCAGGGATCAAACCTACATCTTCTGTATAAGCAGGCAGATTCTTTATCCCTGAGCCATTTGGGAAGCCCATTCAAACGTTCGAATGTCCAAAATCCAGAGCACTGGCCTCACTGAATGTTGGGCATGAACATGAACATGAAGCAGCAGAAACTCTCGTTCACTGCTGGCAAGGATGCAAAGTGGTACAGCCACTTCTTATAAAAGCAAATATGGAGTTACCATACAATTCAGCATCCACCCCTCTCAGAAGTTATCCAAATCAGGGGGAAACTTACGTCCACATAAAAACATGCTCAGCAATGTTTTTAGTAGTTTTACTCTATTTTTTATTGCAGTATAGTTAATTACATTGTTGTATTAGTTTCTGGTGTTCAGAAAAACGACTGAGTTATACATACATATATATATTCTTTTTCGTATCTTTCTCATTATAATTTATTACAAGATATTGATTACAGTTTCCTGTGCTACACAGTAGGACTGTGTTGTTTTAGCAGCTTTATTCACAATGGGAAGAAACTTGGACGTCCTTCAGTAGGTAAGTGGAGAAATAAACTGTGGTACATACAGATACTGGGAAATTATTCAGCTCTAAAAATAAATGAGCTGTCAAGCCTCCAAAAGACAGGGAGGAACCTTAGGTGCCTGTTTTTAAGTGAAAGTAGCCAATCCGAAGAGGCTGCAAACTATTTGAGTCAACTTCATGCCATTCTGGGAAAGGCGAAATTTGGTGACACTGAACCATGAAGCTCAGTGAATTGGCTCATCGATTTTAACAATGTGCCACTGTGGAACAAGATGTTAATACAGGGAAGTGTGTGGGGAAGGGTGATGGATAGGGCAACTCTGTATGTCCCACTCAGCTTTCCTATGAACACGCACTGCTCTAAAAAATAGTCTGTTTACAAGATCACAACCTTGCAGGTGGGTCCTGCACACCGCACCTCTCTTCCTCTCCTCTTGGGAAGCCTTGATGGCAGGTCTCTTCGCAGATGTTTCTGAAGGTCCCCTGGCGGCAGGACTGAGAGTGATGTCAGACAACGGAGGCAGCTCAGCTCATCATGTCAGTGTGTGAGCCCAAAGACCAACACAGCTGTGATCAAGTCCCCAGGTTTAAATTGAGGGGCTGGACCATGCACAGAGTGTGTGACCCCGAGGCCCGTAAGTCCCAGCTCCGGGCCCACCTGCGGGCTGAGTCGCAGTATGGCCCGAGGGAGGCATTCTCAGAGGCGAGGGGGCCCGGGTCTCCGCACTCACTTCTCCAGGACGGAGCGGGGAGCGCTTCCGCAAGGCAGACCCAGTGGAGCTCAGCCCTCGTCCTCCGCAGGGGCAGGCCGGCTCTGAGTCTGGCCGCCCGCCCGCCCGCAGAGTCCCAGCAGGACGCTGTCCTGGCAGCCGCTGCTTCCCCGTTTGGCAAAGCACAGGATGGGCTTGTGTCCTCATTAGCCTGAGGAGGACCATCTGAGAGTCTCCTCCCCGAGAGGACCGTCTGGGGAGGGAGGCTGATCCCATCCAAAGGACCGCCTCTGGGAGCAGCAGGCATCCTGAGAGGCTCCCTCCGTGCAGAGGGGGGCGCCGGTCAGGAGCGGCTTCAGCTCTGCTAGGAAGTGGGACTGCCTGACCCCTCCCCCACCCGCCCTCTGAGCCTGGGGGACCCCCAAGCCTCGAAAGGGGCAGAGGTGAAGCCAGAAAGGAAAGACACCCCGGCCCCGCCCACTTCTGCCCAGCGCTCTGTCTGCAGTCAGGCCCTTCTGGGACTCACCCTCCCTGATGCCCAATCTCAGGCTCAGATCTTAGGGAGAGACCTCTGAACCTAAGGGAAGTGGGGCGCTTTGCCATCCCAGTGCTGAGCTTTTCCATAGCTGGAAAGGAGAGCATCACCAGCAGAAGGCCCAGGACTGCCGGCCGCGTGCAGGGCTGCAGTTAAGGGAGCTTTGCCCTGATTCATCCCCCTCATGGGGCAGGTCACTTATAGTTGAAAATAGGAGAAGCTGGAAACCACCCGGGGCAAATGAGCAGGTCAAGCAGGTCCCTGACCTGTCCTGAGGCCCAAGCGCAGACTGCCCACATTGGCCTGGGCGGCACAGAGCCCAGAGTGGGGTCACAGGGGCACTCCCCCAAGGCAGTACGTCACCTCTGTATACTTGAAAAATGTCTGTGAAGGCTTTCCAGGGCTGGTATTTGGTTTTATCTTCACCATCATTTTCAGAAGTAGGCTGAGCACATATTAGGAATTCCACCACAAAGCCTGGGAATCTAACTCAATCTGACGTTACAAGCACATGTGGAGCACCCACTCTGTGCCACAGGGCAGCCAGGGTGCTGTGGCACCCAGAGGCCAGGATGCCCTGCGCCTACAGGAACCTGCTTCCAGGAAACCAGGAGGCATGCGCCAGGGTCCAAGCTTCGGAGGGTGCTCCCTGCCACCTCAATCCCCCTGTCACAGAGACTTGCAGTGACAGCATCTTTGACTCCCCCGGCTTTTTTAGCAGGAGGAAGAAGTAAACTTTTTACTGAAGTCTAGTCTCCCAGCTTTCAAAGGACGCAGAAAGAGGGACACAGGTGACCACTACATTTCTTTGTAGGTTCGAGTTAAACGTGCACCTGAGGGTGGGGGCATGTCCCCTCCCCCCAAGCAGATCTAGAGGGAACAGAAGGACCGGGTGGCCTCAGAGTCACATGGTTGTGAAGCTTCTATCCCCCTTTGAACAAAGCGTAAGGTAACAGCATGGCACGTATTTCTGAAGCAATTTCACTTGCTCCTGATTGCAAAGGCCTGCAGCTTCCCTCACTGAATAAATAGGTTTCCAGGCTTCTGGCATGCGGGGCCAGCACACCAGGAGCCAGCCAGCTTCCACCAATGGACAAAGTTCAGCCTGGACACCCAGGGACGCAGCAGAGTGGGAGTGGTGACAGGCAAGGAGGCAGGAGGGCAGGGAAGGCAACTGAAAAGTGTCTCACCAGCTCGGCTCCTCCTGGGGCCTCGGAACTCAGGCGAGCGGGTGCCAGGGCCCACGTGGCCCCGGTCGGGAGAAGCTCAGGAGCGGGAGGCATGGGTTAGGTCCTGGAGACCAGGGCTGGAGCAGGGACCCAGGCTTCCACAGGCATCAGCATAACTGCGCCAGGGGGCTGCCACACCTCAGGGTGCCAGTGCCAGGGCTCTAGAGCCGGGACCACCCGCCCCACCGCATCAGACACCCACAGAGGAGCCCCTCTCCCCACCAGCCCTGAGGACACACAGACCCTCCCTGCAAGGGGAAGTGGAAAAATTCCTGAAAGAAGGGACATTCACCCAGAAGAAACAGAGTAACCTTCAAACGACACATATAAGTACCACCCATCCCATCATCAATTTTGAATAACAGCCAATCAGAATATAAAGAAACGTGTGCTGTGCATTCACAATGTATTAACGTTTTCAGTCCTGTGTGAATCAGGAGTGAAGACTGTTCTTCAGGCCCTCAGGCCTCCCACGCTGACCCCCTTCCTTACACAACCCTGGCCCTCAGGCTTCTGCCCAGGCGCTCCCGTGGAGACTCCTGCCCTGCCATCCTGTCTCTCACTCTCTTTCATTTACACGTTCACTTCTCTGGGCCCCTCCTCCTCCCATTTGTCTGCATCTTGTGCTTATCACAGTTTTTCTCCACATCACATTCCCCCGTTTCTGGACCACAAACTCCTACAGAGGGAGACACTGTGTCTTGCCTGCACCTGAGGCAGCTAATGTTTACAGCATGGTATTTACATTCGGATAAATGGTCTACATTCTCAGCAGCCCTCCAGGTGAGGGGCAGGTGTCAGCTTTCTCATTTACAAGGGCACTTGGCCCAAAGTTCACGGCTTGTCCAGCTTCAAATAGTGAGTAAAAGAAATGTCTGTCAAATTGGATCCAGAATGGTTAAGTTTCCAGATCCCAAGCTGCATACCCCGAGTCCAGAGCCTGTCTCTACTACTGATCCCCCCAGACAGAAGAACAGACGGTAGTGATAATGACCAACAGACGACAGACTGATAGATCCATAGATGATAGGCTGAGGACAGAAATACAGATGAAAATTCTCGGCTTCATTTTTCATTTCTAGCGCTTTTCCATTTGCTGAGTAACAACCAGCTCTTAGTCTCGGCTGCTCCTTGCGAAGTTCTGAGGCAGGTGCGGGGTCTCAGGCCCGGGCAGCCCCCGACCAGAGCCCAGCTCTGCGGCCCGGAGCAGCTGCGCGGTGGGGGGGAGACAATGACCTGCCCAGCTTGACGCGGGTCTGCCCCCATCGGGACGCCCTCCAAGTGCCTTCGGATTTTTCAGTTGCCCCAACCGACCCACTTGCCCTTTCTGCCAATTTCTTGGGGGTCTTTAGTTTAACACGGAGGACACAGTAGGTGCAAAGGCCGGGAGCCCGGGTCTCCACGGGCTCCGCGCACCGAACTCGGAGCTGGGAGCCGACCCCCGGGCCGCTTCGCTGCGCACGGGCGGCCCGGCCCATGTCAGCGCAGCGGAGCCGGGATGAGGGCGCCCGCGCTGCTGCCGCCCGCGCTGCTGACCTGCTGCGGCTGGCTGCTCGCCCCGGTGAGTGCGCTCGGACCCGCCCCCTCACGACCCGCGGCGCCGACCCTCCCTGGAGGGAGCGCCCCGGGCTCCCGGCTTTACTGCGCCTCCGGGTCCCGCGCGGGGCTGGGCCGAGGCGCGGGGATCGGGGCTGGTCCCGGGGCTCCACCCGCCCTCCGAGCTCGCTGGACGGAGCAGGCCTGCCGGGGACTCTGGACTCACCCTCAGAGCGCGAAGAACCGAAGCCCCAGCCCGGCCCGGTGTAAGACCCGGCCGGGAAGGTGCGTTCGCTCGGTCTGCTCCACCGTCCCGGGTTTGCTGCGAACAGAACCCAGTGCCTTGCTCGACGTCCCTCCTGGCGGAGCAGGTCCGGGGCCGTGGCGCCCCTCTGGAGTTGGGGACGGGGCTGCGGTCACCTGCGCAGGCTTCTCCTTTCAGAGGGAAATTGGAGTTTGCCTTATCATTAAATACTTCCCTTTCCACCTGCTAGTTCCGGTCACGTTTTTTGTTTTAGTGTGTGTCAGGGAGACGTGATGTGGCTAAACAAAGTTTCCTTTTGGAAACAGCCTGCTTTGATTTTGTTACCATTATTTAAGCGCACCGGAGGAGGTCATATGCTGAGTGGAAGTTTGTTGAATGAATGCATTTATAGATTATTTAACTCTCGACGATTCTTCCTCTTATGTGAAGACCCTTAAACCGCAAGCCCGATTTCCTGCTTCTCTCCTGCAGCCTGGAGCCAGTTGGGGTGTACGCGCTTACGCAGTTTACACCGCGGCCAGATCACCGTCTCTATTGACTCATAGCCCCTCTTAAGGTTGCGAAGCCAGGGATGGAGCTATTTAGGGAAAGTCGTCCGTGCTGAGGGTGTTTCCCCTATGCACCTAGCCCACCCCTCAGCGGCGCCAGCACCTCCTCAGAGTGAAGGCGAGCTGTGGTTTCCTCCCTCAGAGGAATGCTGTGGGAATGAGAGCCTGCCTGCTAATTTCAGTGCGTGAAAGACCTACAGGGATTGTTAAGCTTAATGCTGCTTTAACTTATAGGGTATCCCAAAATAAGGCATCACTGTGCATATTCCAAGAATGTCTGGTATTATGATGTCTTTTAGTACTTTATCAAAAATCCATTTTTTAAGTCAATACAATTTTCCTAATTCTGACGTTTAAGTTATTGCCTTGTTAATGTATGAAAAATACAACCCGCTTGAAACCAGGAGCTTGTACAGTGGTGGCTGCCCTGTGATGAGGCATGGGAGAAAAAAACAAAGACCAAACTTCACATCTTTTTTTTTTTTTAATGAGGGTAAATGTGGCAAAAGCATTCAGCATTAAGTTTCTGCTCTTAACACTGTCGTGTGCACGCTCAGCTGTGTCCCACTCTTTGCGGCTCTGTGGACTCTAGACCACCAGGCTCCTCTGTCCCTGGGGTTTCCCAGGCATTCTTGGAGACCTGGGATGGGAGTGGGTTGCCGCTTCCTCCTTCAGGGGATCTTCCAAACCCAGGGATGGAACCCGAGTCTCCTGCATCTCCTGCCTTGGCAGGCAGATTATTTGCCACTGAGCCACCTGGGAAGCCCCTTAACACTGTCAGGAAATGTAATTTCTGGTTAGAATTCTATTGACTTATTTCAGTGGTAGGATAACTAAACATGTGAGCATGTATGCTAAGTCGCTCAGTCACGTCTGACTCTGCAGCCCCATGGACTTGCAGCCCGCCAGGCTCCTCTGTCCATGGGGATTCTCCAGGCAAGACTACTGGAGTGGGTTGCCATGCCCTCCTCCAGAGGATCTTCCCGACCCAGAGACCAAACCTGTCTCCTGCATTGTAGGCAGAGTCTTTACTCCTCAGCCACCAGGGAAGCCCAATTAAATATAGATGGCCATAATATATGCAAGAGCATGATTCTTTTCAGTAAAAACAAAGTTTTGTTCAGACATGAGAGAGAGGGACACAGCTCCAGCCTACCATGTGAGTACTTATCAGGGATTGGAGATGGTAATAAAGAAAAGAGAATGCTGGGCCTTTGTGAAAATATAGACCAGAGAATATTACCTTCCAAGACTCAAGCGTATTCAGCTTTGTCTTTTGCACACATTGACAGACAGTGTTAATCATATCTTCGGTTCCATCATCAAGCCTGACGCGAAGTCCCCGCTGCCTCGGGGCTGTGACTGCCCCAGGCCTCTCCCTGCTCACCACCCGTCTTTTTGAAAAGTTTGTTCATACCAGATTCCAAAGTTCAGTTTTGAATGTGACCTGCAGCCTCTAAAAATAAAGTTATTCTATTAGGGCTTTCCAGTGAATGCGGAGGCTGGCCTTAGATGAAGCACGCTGGCGTCTGGGGTTGTGTGCAGCCATTAAGAATGGGCTGATGAGTAAACATGTATTTACTTTGATTAAATCAAGGGCTATGAAATGGAGGACTCGAATATTGAAAGATTATTGGATTAAAGAGCTTTATTGCCGCCAAATTAGTACTGACAACATACGATGTATTGTGTTAGGCAGTTTGCTTTCCTGCCCAGAAGAAAAATTATATCAAGTTTCTTATTTGTTTATTAATTCCTTTACAAAGTAAATAGTGAAGCTTTTTAAAAAAAAAAATAACATGCCAAAATATGAAGGCTATTGCTTTTAAATAAGTGTTAGTTTGGAAGCAGTTTAGAACTGTGAGGTTTAGGGGCTTTTATGTAGAGTTTTTGCTTGCCTTTCCTATTACAGTGGAATTTTCCCTTTCTTTTAACCATGACCAGGTGAGCAGTATTCACCCAGAATGCCGATTTCATCTGGAAATTCAGGAGGAAGAAATGAGATGTGCAGAGCTTCTAAGGACTCAAACAGAAAAACACAAAGGTAAGGCAGATAGCTGCTTGGTGAGACTCTCCCTGGGATGGACAGGCGGACTTGCAAGCAGCTCGCATCTCACTCAGAAAACTGGTGTTTACAGTCACTTGTGTCTTTTTTTTTTTTTTAAGTCTGCTTTCACTGTTTTTCAATGAACTGCTGGCAAAACTCCTATAGCATTGTGCATAATGGGCAGTGGGGCATGTGTGTTGGGAAGGGCAGAGGGGAAGGGGTCCTTCACATAAACCTTTTAACGTAATAGTTTCCATAATTTGAGACAATAGCAACAGTTATAAACTAATTTGTGACGGTTGTTACGCTTTGCAAAGACAACTCCTTTTCCTGTGGAATGACTATCTATCTGATTTCTTGCATTTTAAATCCTTAGTTACATCACAGATGATTTGGATACAGTTAAGAATGGTGGGAATTTATCAGAAATCAAACAGGGAATTGAGACTTTTGCTTTCTTGAAGAACAGAGCAGTTATGAGTACAGTCAGCTTACTATTTCTCCCAGAAGCAAAGCTGGGGTGATGCACTCCAGCCCTGGGTACCGTCTCCTGTTTGTAAACTCCGAAGGTTCTGGGATAACACCCAGGTCATAAACAGTGGCAAAAACTTCTTGTCCTTCAGCTTTCTTTTTCTTTGTTCTGTGTCATCATTTTATTCTCTTCAAGAAAGAAATTAAAATCAAAGTACAGCCATGTGTTAAGAGCCTGGTGTCTTGCAGACGACCACCAGCGGGAAGTCCCAGGTGTGGGTGTTGTTCTAGATCGGTACTTCCCAGTAGAAGCAGGATGCAAGCCTTATGGGCAGCTTGAGTTTTCTAGTGGCCATGTTAAAATAAGTGACAAGAAACTTAGGACTTTGACAATGGTTTTATTTATCCAAATATGTCCAAATCATTATTTTTCCAACTTGTAATCAATATAAAATATTGATGAGAGATTCTGCTCTTCTTGTATATTGTCTTGGAAACCCAATATGCATTTCGCACTTAGAGTGCATCACAATTTGGACCATACATTTCAGGTATTCACAGGTGGTCTGCACCCAGAGGGCTTCTAAACGGATTCTAAAATAGCTCTCCTGGGCCCTTTCCTGTCTCCCTGGACCCTCCCCTTCCTCAGCTGAAAAAACGAGGACTCTGGCCCAAGGGCTCCTTCCGGCCTTTGAGATCTGTGGCTGTGCAGTGCACACAGCATCCTGAGAGCCATTCTTCCAAAAGGTCTGGTTGTACTGTCCAGAGGAAGGCAAAACCGGTGGCTCAAACACGGACTCAGGAGCTGTCCTGTAAAAGCCTCGTGTGATTGCTAGCCAGCTACCAGAATCCGTGAAGCTGGGTCTTGCCAGTCAGGTCAGCTTCAGGACAAGACAGCTGCCACAGCCACTGGGGTCTGTTCTTTCGGTGAAAATTAAGAGACTCAGGAGAGCTAAACACTGAGAGGAGACCTGCCGAAACTTTAGAAGCATCTAGTCACAGCGGGGAGCAGGTCTGGTCAGCGCAGCACACGGTCCAGGCCTCCCTCGTGGAAAGTGTGGGCGCGTTCCATCCACCGCATCTGCAGGGGTGACCCTCGGCCTCTGCCCCCTCATGCCATCATCACTGCACTGTCAGGTTGCTGGACTCCGAGGCTGCTCACATCTGGCATCTACCCCCTGGCATTGACTGGGGGCAGCTGTGAACAGAACCCCTTCTTCTCACGGGGCATCGGCCAGCATTCAGAGGGCAGGCCGAATGCCTCCAGGTCCTGCAGCCCTCACCGGGTACGCTGCCAGGCCCCAACCACAGGCTCTCAATACAGCAGGCACTCCTGGCGTGGGAACCGGGGAGGATGCGACCCCTGACACAGGGGCAGACTGAATTGGAGCCAGTTTATCACCACAGATAAACACTCGGCCCCTCCCGCCTCGCAGTCACCAGGGTGGCCCCCCTCCCACCCCTCGCTGTCTGCTCTGTTTGGGGGTGGCTCCTGAAACACCAGCTAGTGTTTCCTCCTGAACACTCCTCATCTCCCACACTCACCAAGAGCGTGCTGCTGATGAGAGAGAGCTGGCCCAGCAGGAGGCAGGGAGCATTCATTCCTGGGAGACAGGCCCGAGACTTTCCCTCATGGAGACGCCTCCCAGCTGGCCAGGGTTATTGGGCGTCGGGAGGGGTGCCTGCAGGTCTGTGCCCACGACTCACCCTGACGGACGCGGGCCCAGGAGAGCAGGGTGAGGCAGGAGAGCAGGGTGAGCAGGAGAGCAGGGTGAGCAGGAGGCGTGGTCCTCAGCCAGCTCTCTTTCATAAAAAGACCTCCCGTCTGGTTGGCCCAGGTGGATGGAGCGTGGCCTTAAGCAGCGCGACAGCTCACGAGTGTGAGCCGGGGCTGTGCAGCTGAGTGGGGTAACATTTGGCCACGGGGCCTTGGGAATGTCCGTCACCCCCCACTTGTTGCTGTGAAGAAACGCGGGCACCAAACCTCAGAAACGCAAACCTGAGGTTCCTGTCATTCAGTCACTCAGTGGTGTCCAACTCTTTGAGACCCCATGGACTGCAGCACACCAGGCCTCCCTGTCCTTCACCATCTCCCGGAATTTGCTCAAACTCACATCCATTGAGTTTGTGAAAATATTCCAATTCTTAAAAGTTTGCAACGAGTACTTTTTAAAACATTGTGTGGGAGCAGGTGGACCTGCTGTGCGGATGCTGCCTGAGCTGCCGGCTGCTCTGCCGGGACCACGGGCCGGGCCGGCCCTGCTTGGAGAGCTGCTCATGGTGCGGAGACGGGCCAGGGGTTTAACGCAGTCCTCGGGCTCAGCCCCCGCAGGCTCTGCTGTCTGGCTCCGCGTTCCTCAGAGGGACCTCACGGGGCACCCTGGACGTGCTGCTGGGAACGTGGACGGCACAGCCTGTGCAGACTTGGTGTCGGCTCGAGCAGAGAGGACGGGGGCGAAGGAGACGAGGGCCCTCCCGTTTGGCGTCGGGGGAAGGTGGCACTCGGTCTTTCTGCAATGACAAGCGCCAGTCCTTCGGTGTTTTCTTTACCGAAGGCTCTCATTTCACTGTTAGCTCGAGAGGAAAACCACCTGCCAGAGCGCTCTCACCCTGGCTCACGGGAAGAGCCTGCGGCCCCGCTCTGCCCCCAGAGGGGGAGGCCAGCCAGGGAGCCTGCCTGGCACCCCGCTTCCTGCAGAGAGAAGCAGCTTGTGTTCCGAATTCCCATCTTTTTCTTGTTGCTCTTTGAAATGTGTGTAGCTCGAATACCAAGGATATAAATAGTAATGAGTTACCAGAATAAAGATACTACAGACGAGGTAAACCGGGAGCTGAGCGAAGGCCTCCTCGCCGAGTGGGATGAGACGGACTCCAGTATCCACAGTGAACGTCAGAGCAGACACAGGGTCTGTAGAAGCTGCGAGAAAGCGGCGTGAGACAGCACCCGAAATGGCAAAAAAAAAAAAAAAAACCTAGTTTTCAATTCTGGTGACGTAATTTGTGTAAGTCTAAGAAGGAAACCCTTTTATTACATGTTGGATCTAAAACAAACACAAACAAACCAACACAGAAATATAGACAAAAACCAATTTCAGTTCTAAACCTCTTTAATGGATTCACTTGTAAAAAAGAAAAGTTTAGGAGGTATTTAGAGCTTTGTGACTTAATACTGATTCAGCATGAAGACTGACCTAGTCCTGCCCGTGAGGCTCAGGCCACAGAAGCCTGGAAAACAGCTCACAGCCGCTCTGTCCCCGCCCACACCGCCAACCATGGGGGCGGCCCTGAGTCAGCGCTCCTCTCTGCCCGCGTCCCCGCCTGTGCCCGGTCTCCTGGGACCTTCCCTGTGACTTTGCATCATTTTTGCCCTCATTTTGGGAGGGGGAACGGGGCAGCTCCACGGTCTGAGCCGTCTCTTGAAGGTTCGTGGCTGTGCTGGCTTTGAGGACAAGCGGTAGCTTAAACCAGGGCCCCAGGTGGGGCTAGACTAGCAAGCTTCCCGCTTTTGACTTCTCTAAACAAAGGATACTGGGCTGATTTTGATTCACTCTTCGAAAGCCATGGCGGGTTTGGGTTTGCGCCCCTTCGAGCTCACGGGCGGTCCTGGCCCATCCATGGGCACCTGCAGAGGGCGCAGGCCCTGGCAGGTTGGCTGTCGGAGACGGCTGCTCCAGGCAGAGCGGGCTGTGGGTGACATGCTCTCACTCCCATGGGTGCCCTTTACCCTGAGCCCCACGAGCTGCCGAGGAAGGCCCGGGGCGGTGTGTCCTGCCTGAGGAGCGTGAGCTGGGGACCCCGCGGTCACAGGAGATGCGGGTGTGCCCACCCATCCTCCGCCCCACAGAAGACGCCCTCTGGTTACGGCAATCAGCCCCAGGGCCCCGCACCGTCTGCCAAGCCCGCTGCCCCACACTCATCCTCAGGGAGGGTCTGGAGCAAGGCTGTCCGTGCCCCTCCCAAGGCGCATCCACGCCGTCTGCCCAGCTCAGGGGCGAGTCCCTGCAGGGTGGCCGTCCACAGCCTCGGGCAGCGGCTCCAGCGTGTGCTGCTGGCCCCTCTGCCGCGCGGTCCACTGTCCCTGCGGCCACAGGTCCTGCCCGGCACGTGGTGTTGCCGCCCTCCTGGGGATGGCCAGGCATGCCCTGTGGTGTGCCGGGCCAGGCCCCCTCTGCGCTCGCCAGCCTCCCAGCACCAAGGCACCTGCCATGGGGCCATCCCATCTGCTGACCCAGAAGCAGGTGTGCAGACCCCAGCTGGTAGCAGACGGAAGGCCCTGAGCATCCTCTCTCTGGACAAGGGAGGGGGACGTCCACCCAGCAGGCACAGGGCGTCCCGGTCTTGATGCTTGCAGGGGCCCTCAGCCACCTCCCCAAAGTGAGGACACAGGAGAGGACCGCCAGTCTCTCGCCCAAGCTGGTGGCTCCCTGGACCCTGAGCCCAGCGCTCTTCATAAAACTGTACTTGGCACCTCAGTGAGAGAGGTGTGCTTCAGACCAGGGTTTTCTTCCCTCCCAAGCCTGCTTCAA